GTCTGTATGTGGGATCTGAACCCTCGGGCGGGAGCGCTGCCGCGCTTCCCAAGCGGCGCACTATTCAGTGCGCCACCGGGCCGGCCCCATACCACCACGTTCTAACCAAGTGAGCTACCCAGCCAGCCCCCAGCATTTTCTTGCTGAGGTCAAAGGAGCTCCTGTGGCAGGAGGAGGAGGAGGCCTTCATGGCATCCCTTTATCACTATGGAAAGACGGGGCACCCTGGAAGGATCAGCCAGAAGGCAGCCTCTCTGCTCCAGGGCCCATCCAGAAATGAAGCTGGTCCTGACCCCTGTGACCTGAGACATGCCTCTGCTCAGCCTCATGGCCTGGACGTCCCCAGGGACACTGCCTCCTGTGAGGACCTGTCGGGGTCCTGGCCACCCATGGCCATTTTCTGGATCCCTGATCTTGGGTGAGGCCAAGCAAGGATGGAGACTGGAGCCACTGAGAGGGTGCTCAGGTGGGAGCAGTTTGGTCCATTTGACCTGTGCACACCTGTCAGGGACCAGGAGATGGATGGTAGTGTTGAGACCTGTTTCTTAGACCCTTCTAAACTCCTCTCAGGTGAAGGCCTGGACATCTGAGCCCACAGGGTATGGTCTGCCTGCTTCTGGAGGCTCCTCTCTGTGGCCCAGCCCCGTCCCCTCATCACATGCTCACAGGCACCCTCCGCAGCCCTCCTGCCCATCTGGCTCTGCCTCCATGGCCCCGGGGCTGCAGCAAGGCAAGTAGGAGGTGGGCATGGTGCTGCAGGTCCTTGCTGGGCATGTTGAACGGGTGTAGATGACCTGTATCTGGAGGCAGAGGAGCTGGGGACAGACAGACATTTTCCAGGTCCTTGTTCAGCCAGAAACCCAGGACAGAGGAGATGGTTCTCGGGGAGGTGGGTGGGTGGCAAAGTGGGAGGACTTGGCTCTCCTTTCCCACAGCCCCCCATGACACCCCTGCAAGGGCTGAGCCTGCCTCACTCATCCACAGGCCAGCCCCACACCCTAGGCTGTGGGCTGTCCTGGCAGTGGCAGGGCTGGCCACTGAGCAGGGGCTGACAGAGAGCCTCCATCAAGGGAGCGCTCCATCAGTGACCACCACTCTCCATCCTCAGGGAAGCCTGCCACTCCTGTCTCCTGGGCAGGGAGGGGCAGCACCTGCTCTATTTCTTATGCTGGCCTGCACACAGTAGGTGCTTTGTCACTTCTTGAAGGAGAAAACAAGCAGAGTCTGTCTCTCCTCACCCTTCACAGGGACCCCAAGGCTTCTCAACCTGTAGCTGAAGCACTGATGTGTTTCCTATTCTGCGGATTCTCATCGTCCCACTGAGGTGATTCTCAGGACTGATGGGTACAGCCACCCCGACCCCACATGCAGCAGGACAAGATTGAGGTGCATGGCTGTGAGAACAGGTGGCTCACCACAACCCTGTCTTGGGCCTCACATCCAAGAATGGGTGGGGATAGATTCTCACAGGGCCTGGCTCTCTCCCCAGAAACCCACAACCCCATCCTCAGCTCTGTGACTCCTTTCCTCCTGCAGGGAGAGCCCCAGACTTCAGCCCTCCAGTGGGAATCACAAGGTGTTTGGGGTCAGGACTCTCACCCTTGAACCACAGTCCGCTCACATTTCCAGCTGGTCCTGGGATCCACCATCCCCATCACAGCAGGGGAGGCTGCATCCATATCTGCAGGAGGTGGCACATCTGTGCTCTGGACATGACCTGCTGTGACCCCTACTGGGACTGGCTGACCCTCCACTAGAGGGAAAGCCCAGGAGGGCAGAAATTTATTCTGTTTTATGGATTGTGCTAAGTGCCTAGAAAAGTGACTGAACAGTAGGCACTTCATGTATGTATATTGAATGAATGAACCCCAACCAGTACCTCCCCAGATACCTGAGTGGGCCCGAGGCCCTTTGCCAGCCCGCAAGGAACACTACATGGAATATCAAACCTCTTACAGACACAGAAACAGTGTTGCCCAAACCCAGGGGCAAATGAGCACTGAGGTGAGGGCTGCTTCATAGGGGAGAGGGGAATAAGCAGCATGGGTGACCACAGCCCTTCCAGCGGCCCTTTCCACAGAGCCGCGCAGTGGGCAGGCACTTTACATGGCTTTTCTCTCTGGTTTTGATCCCTTTGACACCCCATTTTTCAGAAGAGCAAACATCCAGGTGCAGTGACAATCTCAAGCTAGTTGGTGCTGGGTCACCTCTGTGCTGTGGAGGGGCTGTGCTAACCCTCCCAGCCTTAGGTCCAGCCTGGGTGCGTGGAGGCGAGGGCTCAGCAGGAGCACAGGAAGGTGGGGTGTGGGGGGGTCACTGTCCAGGCAGGGGCACCTGGTGCTCCAGCAGCTTCCCCAGTGTGTCTGCCTGGACCATCCCCACGCAGCAGGTTTCTCTGTGTGGTGGGATAGGGCAGCCCATGGTCAGGGCAGCATCGTGGACCACCAGGGGCTGGGGCTGGAGCTCAGAACAGTCCTTCAGTAACTGTGGCCAGATTTGAGACATTAGTGCCCCAGCAGAGAAATGCTTTCCATGTCGAAAGTAGAATTTAAAGTGGTGGGCCGGCCCGGTGGCGCACTGCTATAGTGCGCCGCTTGGGAAGCG